TGACATAATATGTAAAGAGCCTATAAATCAAATTAATAGCCTTGTTATAAATGTGTTGAGATCAAAGATATAAAAGTAATTGTTAATCATTTTTAGCTGGTATTATCACCGCAGTTTAAGTTAGTGTACCACACAATAGCATTTTAATATCATCAATGACGCCAAAATTCGATAAAATCCGCGAAGAATTGATACTACAAGACAAAATAATAATGAATTACTGTTCACTAAATAAACAACAGTGAAAATGAAAAGAATATATTGATTGGGTGTAATGTATCGTATACATCTTGCTTTTACTGGTAATGGTTCAAAAAAACCAAGTCAGGTTTTACTAAACACGTTTTGTATAAGCTACCCGTCGTACGTGAAGTGTTTTTGCGTTGTAGTGTTTTTGTTTTTACCAGATTTTTTGCCGCAAAGACACTTTCAATATGTTGCCGTTACGTGTCCCTCACCACGTGGAACTAAACAGAACAAACTAACTCGGATTCAAGGTGGATTCGGTTCAGCAGGGGTCTTCTTCAATTCATTTTCACTAGTTTTAGATGTCCCTTCCTAGCATACTAATAAACATTAATGTTTACAGAAGCAAGGTTGAAGGAGCAAAATAAGATACTTCGTTTGAGAGGGTTTGCCAACTGCATCCGTCAGGCCCATATTTCCAAAAAAAAACTTTTTTCGTTTATTTTTGCTGATAGAGGATTTCCAAATAACTCACTTACTTTTCTTCTGTATTTCGCTTTACCTCAAGACGAATTGACCGACTATTCCTTCGGGCATGAACCTGTCCAAGAGTAACGAGTGCACAACTTCTAGAACGAGAAGGGCTTACTATACGCATATATAGGTCTTGTATCGGAAATTATGAATTAGAAGTTGTCGCTTTTAAGCCTTTTAGGTACAAAACCTTCTTATTTTCAATCCTAGTTCTATTCACGCTGATTACAAGTTAATCATGCTAGCTGGATCTCTGTAGATCCTTTGGTAATTCTTCTACACACATGCACCATTCAACGATGTAGTCACTATAATGGGATTAGAACATTATTTAGACTTGGGGAAAGTGTAACGCACTTCTTATATTGTTATCTAGCTCGTTGGGTTGTTTCTCGCGAAGCGCTTGCTGAATTGAAGTAGTTCTTTGCCTTCTAGGTGAGTTCGATAATTTGTAACAATTAACGTTTTCGCACACACAAAAGCTCATTTTCAATCCCTTATTTTCGTCATTTTTGTTTGCACGAAGATTGTTTTTATCCGAAAAAATTACCAAACAATGTACTAAAGTTATTACTTGTCAAAAACATAAAATTCGTTTTTAGGTTTTGATGAGAAAATTATTGTTTGAAGTGTAAAAATTGCTGGTATACGCTAAGTATGAGAAGGTTGTAAAGTGTCTTGAAATTTGAAAATATATGATAATGGCTTTTAAAGCAAGAAAACAAAAGGCTTCTTGTATTTCAAAAATACACGTAAAAATTTCTATCAACATAAACTACATCAGTTTTATCCGAGCCGAAGATAAACAATCAGTGACAACATCAGTTACAATCGAGAACAACATGTTCAAAACACAAAAGTACTTTTTAAATTATGTAAAGCCTACTTTTATTGTCGATAAACTTGTTTAAAAAAATATGACAATTCTTATAATGAGACCCAGCTGGATACCAGAGCAAAGGACGGAACTTTTTCTGGCGTTCTGGACAGTGAACAATATATTCATTCATGTGAATTAGACAGGTTCTATACTTGTGTTTCACACCTTTGTGACAAAACAGTCGAATTTTGCAAATTTTGCGCTTTATTTTCAACACAAATAAGCAAAAATATTATTCATGTAAACGCGAGAAGAACATTGTCATAATAAAAGCTTTAATGTCAAGTGGTTTTTGGAAGTTGCTTATTGCGTATTTGGGATTGTTTTTTTCGTGTATTTCCTGGCATTGAACATGTACTTTTGCGTAACAAATTGCCGGTACTAGTCCTTTGAGGTAGACCGGTTGAGAAATTATGAAAATATCTCAAAAATTAGCTGAAGTTATAGACGAAAAGTTATTGTTAATCAACACACTTTTTAAATACTATTTTGCGGAATTTTAACAGAGGTTGGCTTTTAAAATTTAAAATTTTAAACTCTTCAGTTACGACGAATTATCACAGAGTCCAGAGTCCAGTAAAATAACGAAAAATCGATAAGAGAAAACTCTGTAATCCAAAGTGAGTTATCTGTCATACTCATGGTTCATTTGTGGCTGCAAATGTAAACTAAATTACTTCAAATGATTTCCTTTAATCTCTAATCAGAACCACAAAAACCACTCCTCGGCATCAAGAACAGCTATTACAGCAATAAACTTCCATTTATTGCTTCGATATCACAACAAGGCTGCCGTGCAGACTCTTAAACCTGTCTTTCCCAAAGTATTTGTTTAACTTTGTATTAATCCTAATATACTGAAACGGATCATGAAACACGCACAACGTAAGCTATATATTCACTCACTATTAATAAAATTAAATTGCATTTTGTACTTGAATTAATTGACTTTACGCCACTGGTATAATTGAAAACCATCTCATTATACAGCGTCCGTTCGTCTGCCAATTGTTTTTCTACGGTCTTTGAAGTTATTACATTGTATATAAACATTGACAGAGTGTTACAAAACTGTTTTTCTCGGATTTATGTTCGAAAATTGAAGAATATAGACTGTGTTTAACAATATATGAGCTAGTTTGGATTGACGGGTGTATCATAATCTAGGGCTAACATCCCTTAAATCCTTAAACAGTGTAAACATTTTACGAGATCCAGACTTTAGAAAAGCTATCACTTTGAATAATACAATGTCAMAAGGAGGTTCTGTCTTTTTCTGAAGTGTATGTACTCGGTATACCCTTCGGACGTTCAAGGATACTAGACCATAAGAGGTTTTTTACATTGGATGAGACCTACAACATCGAATCATTCGCACTAATGAACTCTGATTGCCTCTAAATTGAAGTTGACCTTTTGGTGTATTTTTTAATTTCACATCACAAAGTTTCACCAAGTTTGTTTGACATGAAGTCCTTTGGTATTACCGCTCTTTTTGAAACCTGCCATCGACGCGGTAATTAAGAAGAAAAAAAAAACGCCCATTTTTGGACCATGTATGGTACAATGTAAAACATTTGAGTTAACTAATAGAGCTCTTTTGAATAGAATTTATTAAAGAAGGCCGTCTTTTGGGTAGTTTGAATATCAAAGGATGGTCGAATGTTGGATTTTTTTGAAGGGTTCAGGTGTGGAACGAACAGATGACATATCAAATCTTGGAAGGGTTGTCAAACGCGCTTCAAAAACGACTATCGCATTGTTCGTTCTTCGTCCCATTTCGCTCTCGTGACTTCAGGTATGGACATGTTAACAAATTCTTTACCGATGACGGTAAAAAATAAACAGTTATCGCATCAAAAAGTGACAGTAGCTCGTCACTGAATTCTGTGTATTGAAATGTGATCCGAGGTAATTAAAAAAATCTTTGTTAGCTTTGGGCCCAGGTTTAACGCTAATTAGCACACGATAGAGGAAGCCGGCAGTCAGCAATTCCATCCCCTTGCCATTTAAACAACTCTAGTTGAGTTGGTTGGATGAAGTTACAGGAATCCTATGCTATCTGAAACGCATAATGAGACACTCCAAATTGAGTGTGGGCTTTGAAACCGAGACGTGTCATGAAGTGTCTAAACGGCAGCCTAAAGCTTGCGGTAAACACTTGGCCTGTTGTAATGAAGTGTACTTCTGTAAATACTGAATATTCAAATCACTTGTAAGTGTGATATTCAGGCTAAAATCAGTCCTATTTGGAAGCCTATAAATCAAAAACCCGGATATGCTTTCGCCGTTCGTCCATTCAAAWGGAACGTGCCTAAAACCCTACGAGAATTGTTGCAGCATAACGATGTAAATCCACTCATATCTCTCGCACACAAAACTTATTGTATAACTAATAAAATGACACAAAATAATTAATAAACTAAATCGGCGGGACGGCGCCAGGACTTTACTGGCTTTTGTAGGCCTATAAGAGAACTGATGAGACCCTGTTTACATTTCAAGGTCCTCGGGGTTGAATTAATAGATACACAGTCTTTAGGCTCAATAAATTGAAGGTCTCCGTAATATTTCTTTGCTTTTGTCTGCTAAATAAACAATAATAAAAAGTTGATAATAAAAAAGARGCAAGACCAATAGAGACTGYTGTACGGAGAGACATGAGCGGCAAGCTGAAGGGCGCGAATAGAGGTTCTCTTTACATTCCTGTGTTCTCGTTGTTTGACAACCCCACACTGGTCATCAAATTCAAACTTCAAAGGAAAAAAMYYMA